TGAGCTGCTTGGAGCCGAGTTAAAGGACGTGAACATGGACTTGTTATAAATTCCTCTACTGATCTGGTATCACTCGGTAGGTCTGGAAGAAAACTAGACTGTAAGACAAAATTGATGTATTTCTGTTCATCATCTGCTCCTGCAGTTCCACCCTTCACTTCAAATTTGTTTAAAGCTGGCAGGCTTGCCAGGTTGCATTGCACCCCCACAGACATGTGCGGTTTTCGGCGCTCCACTTGCACAATTTTGTTTTTCTTCCCAGCAAATTTATCGTATTGAGTGCTCTTGTGCACATACGTAGGACAGTGTTTGGTGGACATGCCAACTGTGCGACGAACCCTCGGAGTATACTTTCTTTTTTGTTTCTGTGTCACAGGCTCCAGGTTTGCAGTGCTGCTTTCCACATATTCACTCAGGGATTCAACCATTTGCTCCATTTGATACTCCTCAACAGACATGAATTCTATATTCAGGCTTTCATTGTCAGATGCTATAGTGATATCTTCTGGTTCTGTCAGGGAAACCGAAAGCATGCTTTGATCTGGATGCTGTTCAACGTCCTGCACAGGCTGCTGTGAGGACAACTCCAAGGGCACAGGTTCCTGAGAGGAGGGCTCCGAGGGCGCAGGTTGCATTTCCTCATCCGGTCTCTCGCGCTTAGTGTAAGGGTGGTCTTCGTGAAGCTCTACGGGCGGTTTCAATTTCATGGATGGCACTGCGCTTTTTTTCAGAACCTTATTAGGGCCCCGTAGCTCATAGTCATTATCCGTGAAATGATTGGAGCAGATCCGATAAGCCCCTTTTCTCGAGCTGTGAATTTTTGACATGAGATCTTCCATCTTCTCGTCCGCTACAAAGATTTTTTCCAACCAAATCTGTAAGGTGTCCCATTTTCTGGGGAAAACGTGTAGTATGGTTTCTGCACTTCTGGTTCTCCAGGAGAACGTACATCCGGGAACTAAACAACTTGGCATGATGCTGAGGAAAACAAAAGAATAGACAGTCAATATAAACTCGAAATTAAGAGTTTGTGTGTGTGTATGCCATAGCTACTAGTTCTTACTGACTAGGTAAAGTTTATGACCCCTGGCGTGGTTTCTAATTACCATAAATGAAAGCTTTGATAACAGAAGATTTGACTTTCTACGTCTTTTCCCTATGTTCTTTGCCCGTGTTGAGCCAGAAACTGAAATAATATTATTTAGCCAGTTTTTTTTCCACTCTTTGCTATGACCACAAAGGGTGTCACTCTGAGGAATTTTGTTTTATGACACAGATAGAGGGGTTAGGCTACAAAAGTATGTAAACTTACAAGGTATAGGGGTCCTTATGAGTAAGGACTTTAGCACAAAATGCGTCACGATGTATATGTCTTTTTGAATAAACCTCCTGTTTCCTTCATTGCACTCATAGACTCTGCTGTATGGTTCGTTTACTAAGCAGAGCATGGCTGTGGAGTCGGAGCAATCTGAAGTGGTTGATGCGTGCCGTTTCCCCTAATGGCAGCAATCTTTTCTCTGCACATGTTGCATAAGACAGCTAGAGATTACTACGATTACAGTTCCTTTACAAATCAACACTTCCACTACTGCCTGCTGGGGTCAAAGGGCTGCATATGGCCCCTGAGCCACAGGTTGGGCACCAACATGGAGCTGGTAGCTACTGCCACCTTAGGCTTTATTAGAGAAATGTCTTCTTACTTCAGCTACATGGTGATAAATATGTCTATGTGGCATAATTAGTAGGGATGCACCGATACCAATACCGAGTACTTGGGCAAGTACTCGTAATCACCCCAAATGCTCCCGATACTTATCCTGATACCAGAGCTTCTGGTATCAGGAAGCCGGGCAGCAAGTCATTACATGCCGCCCGGCTTCCCGATTGGCCAGGAAGCTGGCTCTATACTCCCTCGTCACCAGGGAGCTGGCTTCACGGCCAATCAGGAAGCCAGGGGGCAGGTAATGACAACCCCCCCTGGTTGCCTGATTGGCCGGGAAGCTGGCTCCATGCTCTTTCGACACTTGGTGACGCGGGAGCATGGAACCGGCTCCCCGGCCAATTAGGAAGGCTTTCTGATTGGCCAGAAAGCCGGCTCCATGCTCCCTCGTCACCTGGTGATGAGGGAGCATGGAGCCAGCTTCCCGGCTAATGAGGAAGCCGGGCGTCGAGTCATTACACACCGCCCAAGAAAGAAAAAAGAAACCTTGCCGCACTCCTTAACGGGATTCCCGTATGCAAACGGGTGCTCGAAATGACTGCGAATGGCGCCGCCACATGTAGATAGTTGAAAAATGTTACCAGCGCACCAAACGATGATAACAGCAATTAAGTGTTCATTTATTGACGAATGCGGTCTCTCATTAGCAAGCGCTTTCAGGGCCACACAGGGTCCCCTTCATCAGGCTTAGAGATGACGAGACAGCATTCATCAATGAATGAACACTTAATTGCGGTTATCATCGTTTGGTGTGCTGGTGACATCTTTCAACTATTACACAACACCCGGCTTAATTACCGGGACTTCCGGTATTGGTATTGGGTATCGGCGAGTACCGAAAATAAATATATATGAGTACTTAATATCGAAAAACCGGTATCGCTGCAACTCCCTAATAAATAGTCCTACCAAACACCGCAACAAATCTCCTAAAGTTGGAGCTCGCCTTCCCAAACTATAGAATGATTCAGCGCTGGTACCGGTACCTCCGTCTTGGTGCTTTCTAGGTTTCAGGACTGAAGAAAACGAGTCGTGTCCCCAACAGGGCCACAGAATTAAAGACGATGAAGAATGGAAGTTCTACTCCTTCCCTTCTCTCCACAAACACTTTCACTTATGTCCACCATTACTAGAAGAATATATTAGTGGGGACAGTAAAGGACAAAGCACTTATGAAATGTTCTCTTACTTGTCTCTGGCTTCACACGGAGCGGGATGGTTGCAGGTTCATACAAGGAGACCTGAAATGAAAAGACATAGTTGACATAACATCTGACAAGGATAATCAGATGAACAAAACAGACTTTATATGACATCATCGTCACCCCAAATACATTTAGATAGGTGTAGCCGTTGTCACTCACGCAGTTGGGTGGATCTCGACGGTATTGTCAGGATCTGTCGCAGCTGCGTCGGTCTCAGTATATCGCAGGCAGTAGCTCGCTGAGCTTTGGGTCACAGGAGGAGTTTAGTATATGTCCTCCCGTGACCCTTAAAGGAGAACTATGAGGTGCGTGAAAATCACTCATTCTCATAGTTTGAGCCGACGTGTGACAATGAAACTGTCACAGGTCGGCACAATAGATCGGGAAGTGAGCGTCGCTCGATCACCTCCCTGCAGAGAGTGGTGACTGTCAGTCACGGCTCCCTGCAAGGATCCCCCTCCCCGCTCCTCCAGCGCTGACTGGCGGAACGGACTGGGGAGGGGGCGGGCACAGTTGGCTCTGCTTCTAGATAGGCAGAGGCAGCTGTCAATCACGCAGCTGGGTGGATGTCGACAGTATTGTCGGGGTCCATCCCGGCTGCGGCGCTTTGGGTCACGGGAGGAGGCTAGTTTGTGTCCTCCCGTGACCCTTAGGGGAACTATGGAGAAAACAGCTTACCCCATAGTTCTCTTTTAACCCTTTTACTGCTGCTGCACACCAGTATCAGGATGTAAAAAAACTGGTATTGCACTAGCTCTGGGGCCGCCTTCAGTCTCCTCAACAGAAGCGATTCAGTGAGATGTGACGCGTCTATGTGCGCTAAATGTATTTTTGTATTTCAATGTATTTTTTATATCCAGCTGTGCGAATATCACGATGTATTATTATTGTAACTAGGAGGGGGGGAGGGGAGGTGAGGTCACCTTTCTGTTGAACTTTCCCCTTTAAAAATGTCCCCAGCATGTAGAGACGGAGAGCGGAGAACCGGGGAGGACAAAACAGAACCCGAGTCATCTTCAGTGATTGATTGATGGATTCAGTGATTGATGGATTCAGCGATTGATTGATGGATTCAGTGATTGATGGATTCAGCGATTGATTGATGGATGGATTCAGTGATTGATGGATTTAGTGATTGATGGATTTAGTGATTGATTGATGGATTCAGCGATTGATGGATTTAGTGATTGATGGATGGATTCAGTGATTGATGGATTCAGCGATTGATTGATTGGGTTATTGTAAACAAACTCAGGAAGAGCAGCCGCGGGTCTGCTTACATTCTATAAAGCCGGCTCTCCCACAGAAAGGATCATGAGGCGGGGATAGCGGCTCGGCGTTGTCAGCCCGTGAACAGGAAGTGCAGTTACTGGCGGGATCTGCGAGGAAGAGACTTCTGCTTGGTTGAGGTCACGGTCTATAGCGGGGGAGGGCAACCTCGGCGGTCCAGCTGTTGAAGACGATCCGTTTAGCCTTTTCCTCAAACATGGACACCTCTGCTGCCTCTTCCCCACGTTCCCTTTTTTGGGGCCCGATCCCCCACACCATTATTCACCGACATCCAACCAGCAAGTATAACATTATCTGGAAATCCCCGGGTTCCATCAAGCCTGACCTCTGACCCCAGTCTTCATTCTAGTGCAGTGGTAGGCAGCCTCAGGACTCCAGCTGTGGTGACACTGCAAATCCCATCATGTCTCTAAGACTGATGCATGTGGCTGTCAGAGTCTTGCAATGCCTCATGGGACTTGTAGTTCTACAACAGCTGGAGTGCCAAGGTAGCCTACCCCTGTTCTAGTGGCTAAAATAATAAATTGTAGGCAGTAGAATGAACAGACGTGTGTACATTTCTATAGGGGAGAATGCGCCATTACACACGTTTTCATGCTGAGCCTTTCTGCCAGCAAGATATGAGTATTCAATGACACCCACAAGCATAAGCCCTTATAGATGCAAATAACTTACCGTAACCGATATGCAGACCGTCTGTGCTATGCAGGCAATGGGGTCAGCGGTGGGCCTTCAGTCACAAGGCCAGCGAGAGCAGCTTGGCAGGTGAAGCCCTGGACAGGCAGCCTGGAGGATGATTATTGCTGGCAGTGACAACAGTGATCACCTGACCCACCATTTACATGCTCACACACCTTTGTTGTTATAGCAGCTACAAGGTGACAACCCTGAAGCAATTTCACTGCTGAAAAAAAACCGTTGTCACCCTATGGAAGGAAGTTCAGTGAAATCGGATTTACTGGTAGAATGATCGGGTATCTTCTAAAGATTTCGGGTGCCACTTTTGCAGAACGGAGCGTGACTTAGTACCACAACAGGAAGCCTACATCACAAATCTAATCTTACTTCATGCCCACGTGGGCGGGTATTATACTTTCCCGCTTTGTCATTAGCTGTACCAGGCGCGTAGCTATAGCGACAGACCGGCCCCTCGCGCGGTGTAGGCGTGGCCGGGCCAGGCAAATAGCCCGGAGAAATGCCAATCACCCTTCTGACGCATGCGCACTGCACGGAGAGCGCGTCAGCATGAGCGAGCGAGCGAGAAACTGGCCAATGGGGTTGTGTGTGATGTGCGGGCTGCCCGGGGTTGGAAAATCTACGTTAGCAGCCGCATTGAGACAGAAGGAGAGGCCGTACACTACAGTCCTGTTATCGTATGACGATATATTGGCAGCGGACGCTTTTGAAGAAGAAGCAGTGTGCGAGTATCGCGAGGTTTCCTGCCAGACGTTGGATCCGGGCGGAAGAGAGGTGAGTGAGCTGACCAATGAAAAAGCAGTATTTCCGGTTATCAACAAATCAGAGCTTATGAAACAGTCAAAAGGGTCTGCCCTCAATAAATATGGCGTTTGCTAACTTACTATATGAGTATGTGTAGCCAGCTAGTGTGGGCAATGTACGAAACTGCTGGAGGAACAGTGTTAAGTGTCATATAATAGAATAACATGTGCGTTTTAGCAAACATTGTGAATTGTTCCTGATTTCTAAAGGATGGTGTAAGATTTGCACTTTAAAATGGCTTGCACTGCAGTATTACAGTGAATTCATATTATATTTTATAGCCCAATTGACTTACTAGTTTAAATCAGCCAAATACATTCCAGGTGCAACAAAACTTAGTGTTCCATGTCTTACAGTTTGTTTTACTTCCAAAGCAGCCACAGCCTAACTAGACAAACCTGTCCTCCTTGCCAGCAACTGCAGAGTGGGACCCTTGCTCTTTTTTTGTGTGTGATACAAGTGAACAAACAGCACTCTCGGAAGGGGGGCTCGGTGCAAACAGTATGCTGCCCTGAAAAACAGTAGGAGGACCTGTGCTTGCTAGTAAATGGAAAGTTCAAACCAGGGCACAAAACTTGTGGGGTAGGTGATTTAAACCATGAGTGAATGTACTAAAATCGGAATAAACAATTGTATAAAATAAAAATGTTGATAAAATGCACTCACTTACATTTGTATTGGAGAGGGCCGTGGGAAAAGTAGCCTCACAGGAGGATCGAGTGGTCCAGGATCAGGGGCTGGAGAAATCTCGGACGGTGCCGGCTGTTGTTGGAGAGTAATGCACTGGGAGCCGGAGGGAGGCGTGACAGTACAGAGACTGTGTCCGTGTGACTTCTGTATGGACCGGAGTCGGGACACTGTGATGTTAGATATGGGTCACTGGTGCTTCAGCTGTGCAAGCACTTGTCCCTGCAGCTGACAGGACAGTGCTTGGACAGAGAGCGATCCTGTCACTGGAAGTCGGGTGGTAGCGGCGCATGTAGCGTCTGGCCATGTGTGCGGGAGAACTGTTAAAAAAGCTGTGAAGGGCAGCTTATGCTTGAGAAAGAGGCTTCCTCGAAACGCGTCGCTTCCCTCCTTCTGTGAGGCTACTTTTCCCACGGCCCTCTCCAATATAAATGTAAGTGAGTGCATTTTATCAACATTTTTATTTTATACAATTGTTTGTTCCGATTTTAGTACATTTACCAGCACTCATGTTTTAAATCACCTACCCCACAAGTTTTGCGCCCCGGTTTGAACTTTCCATTTTCTTTTTTGTGTGTGGAAGCAGTGGTCTCTGTGCAGACGTCTGACACCGCCCCCTGCTGAAGTCAGAGCCAGAACTCTCCGTCAGCAGTGAGCTTGGGCCTTGCTGATTGGAAAGCGCAAGCTCTGACTTGGCAGGGGGTGTGTTGGACCTCTGCAGAGAGACAATTGTTTCCCCACAGAGAGCAAACTCTTTTCTAGTCAGGCTTTCGCTGCTTTAGGAAGGAAGTGAACTGTTGGATATAGAAAAAAAACCTTGGTGGGGGGAATTCATAAAAACTGGAGCAGTTGCCCATAGTAACCAATTAGCTTCTCTCCTTTATTTTGTTTAGTTACGTTTTGAAAATGAAACGGAGGAGTTGATTGGTTGCCATGGGCAACTGCTCCAGAGTCTGCTCCTGGTTTTTATACCCCTCCCCCCTATGTTTTTATGCACCTAGAATGTATTTAGCTTATTTAAACTGAGAGTCCAATTGGCACTTAAAGTGACATTAAACCCTCAGATTTTGTAACATAAAACAATACTGTAATGTGTGCCTTACTGTAATCCATGGTTGTTTCCCTTCTCTTTGATGCTCTTCCTTTTTAAATCTGTATCTGTTCTCATGCTGGGCAGAACTTCTGTTTTGCAGCAGACTGCCTTGTCTCTGGAATGGATACACGGTGTCTGTGTATACGTTTCTATAGGTTTGCAACCTGAGCCAGCACTACAGGAAGAGGCAGTCAGCTGCAAAGGAAAGTTCTCCCCAAGCATGAGAAGACATGAGGATTTAAAAGGAAGAGCAGCAAGGAGAAGGGAAACTACCATGGATTACAGTAAGGCACACATTACAGCAGGGCTCAAAATTTCCACTCGCCCCCTCGCAATTTGCGAGTGAAAATTGCACCTCCCTATTCAAAAACAGCTGATAGTAAATATTTTACTATCAGTGTCTGAATGAATGGGAAGCCTCTGTACTGAGTGCTGAGGCTGCTGAAAAAGAAATTGAGGATTTGGTGTCCTCAATTTCTTTTCTATTTTAAAAGGGAAATAAAAACTGATTTTAAAAAAGTGAAAACTGCTCCCCCCCACACGCATTTTATTAGACATGTGCGAAGACTAAAAATTAATTTCAGATGAAATGTGTATGTGTAATGCCCTGTGCGTTGTGCTGTGGCTGTATGTGTAATGCCCTGTGCGTTGTGCTGTGGCTGTATGTGTGTTGTGCTCTGTGCGCGTTGTGCCCTGTGTGTGTTTGTTTGTGTTATGCAGGGCAACTGGTGGCGAGTAACTTTGAAGGCCTGGCTAGTAGCTCAGGACCTGAAATTTTGAGCCCTGCATTACAGTATTGGTTTATGTTAAAAAATCTGAGGGTTTAATGTCACTTTAATCTAGTATCTGCAAGCTAAAGTTTCTGATCAGCCTGGCACCCAGTCCTCTCTTTAGGGATGGGTGTTGTCCAAGAGATCCAGGACCAGATTTAGGCCCCATTTATACCTAAGCATGCGTGGGGCCAGGCCCCGGGGTCGGCAGAGGAGGTGGCCACCTTGGATGCTTCAGCAGAAAGGAGGTCCAAACGGGTCAGGTCCTGCAAGCTATGCTGCTTAAGTAGTTAATCGTAGTGCACTTTGGCCTTTTTGACCAAAGTGCTAAAGGACCTTGTCCCGTCACTGTGCATGACCCCGGGAAGAGCCAGTCCTGATGTCACAAAAGCCCTTGTACACAGGCCAGTGAGGAGAGATCAGCAGAGTACCCTGTGTCAGTTTCCCTTTCTGTAAGCATACCTCTCAGAACTGCATCTCCCAAGTGCCCTTTCCCTACAGAGAGTGTGTGGTCAGGCACATGGGAGTCAAGGCAGCAGCATTGCTTTTCTGGGAAAGGAAGTAC